CTTCCATCCTCTCTACAGAGAGGGTGGTTGGTCCCTGCTGGGTACGACTACCAAAGCCTGGGCAAAATGTCTTTACCACCCACTGAAGGGAATCAGATGCTTGTGGGTGCAGTTTGCCCCACGGAGACTCATGCTCTTAAGGTGTGGCACAGAAGAGGCCTAAGATATCCAAAGGGCAGAGGAAAGTGACCTGGGCTGGGAGATGGCATTCTGCCCCTGTGGCCTCTGTTCCGTGTTACTCAATGGGGAATGAAGCTCCGGTGTGTGCTCTGGTTCTCAGCACAGAACGAATTCTCATCTCAGAACTCAAGCAGAAACCCCCTGGAAAACATCACTGCAGTTTTCATGGAATTTCAGTATCAAAACCTCTTGCTATATATATATATATATTTAAAAAACAAAACAAAACAAAAAAACCTTAGCCGGGCGGTGGTGGTGGTGGTGGTGGTGGTGGTGGTGGTGGTGGTGGTGGTGGTGAGGCAGAGCCAGGCGGATCTCTGTGAGTTCGAGACCAGCCTGGTCTACAGAGTGAGATACAGGACAGGCACCAAAACTACACAAAGAAACCCTGTCTTGGGAAGAAAAAAAAAAAAAACTTTACTAAATGATTTAAATTATAAACATATTAGTTTAGCACAAACAGATTGGGCCAAAATGACATTAAAGAGAATGTTTTGCAGTAATAAAATAGTTTGGGATGCACTTTTTTCTTGAGTGTTCTTTTAGCCTTTCATCCTGACTAAAAAGCTGTAGGATCAATGGTACACAGCATCGCTCACCCAGCACTGTAAGGCGTCGATGTGTTATGGATTATTATTCCTTCCAGTCCATGTTGGGGAGGAAGGAAATAGTGGAAGAGAGCCCCTACTAGTCCTCAAAAGCTTCCTGAAGCAAACATCCACGTCACTTTCTCATTCCTTCGAGATGGGACCTGTCTGGCTCTGTGATCACTTCCTCTTCGGTATCCTGCACAACACACTTGCATCATTTCCACAGTCACACTGAGTCAGAGGCTTCCCAACATGTCTCGCTTTGGTGTTTTTCCCCCTTGAAGACAGGGATCAATTCAGGACAGACAGAACAACGTAAACCTGGGACTTGGACATTTGGCAACATTTCCTAATGATAGCCACGTTCCCCCTCAGAGTCCCGGGTAATGAATGGTGTGGCAGACGCTTGCGTGCCTGGAGAACAAATCCTCACTGACCAAGAGTGGCAGCTGACATGGATGGTCAGCTCAGTTCCCACACTGCTTTTTGCAAGCTTCTGGCCCTCGTTAAACTATTAGAAAAAAGGAGGTTCATTTACTGTGGACATCATATCCATCCCCAAAGACTCTGAGCCTAACGGACAACAGAGGATCCTTCCCCCACACTTTCCACTGAAAGATAAAACATAAACCCATTCAGCCTCCTTCCCAGAACCAAAGCCGGGCTTGTGCCCATCCAGCTGCCTTCCAAACACCATCTGCCCACCGTGGTCTTTCCTTTCAGGGGCCTGGAGTTTTTTTGGCTCAGGAACGAGACACATTTATTTCCAATGGATCCACACTGCCACCCAGTGGACAGATAGGTCAGCCGGCTGAGGCCTAAGCCTTCTCTCAGTTTCACAGCCAGGCTTTAAATAGGAACCTGGTTGTTTCAGAGGATTGGGGGGTGAGTGTTCATTGCCTCTGCCGGGAATCACGCCAACTTCCCCTAGGAAGCCTTGGATGGAGATGGCACAGGCGAATGCCACTTAACCAAGATGGATAGTTCTAAAAGGGGGGGGGGGGGGAGCTGGGTGATCATCGGTGACAGCCAGGTGTATGGGGAGGCACCTCCTACCACACGGAAAATATATTTTAGGACTAGATCTGAGAAAAATAATCCACTTTCCTATAGTGAAATCAACAGTTGAACGTTCTGTTTTACATCCGCCTTCGATGATGACGGGATCAAACTTCTGGCCTGTCTCATTTGTACCGAGTCCCTTCCTCCTGTCTAGCTGTCATTCGGCACACGGAGCAATCAGCTTACTTTCCACGCCAGGCTGAGAAGCTCCGCGCCTCCCAGCCACTCCTCCCAGGCTGGCACTCAACCACACACAGTGTGCGTTTTCTGTCGCTTCGTACTTTTTTGAGTATCCACGTAGCAGGGCTGGGATATGGACCTCACGGAGCTCTTCATTAAAAGTGCTCTCTGTGTGGGAAAGGACCTGGATTTGAGTTCTGATCCTGTCACTGGCTAGTTCCTGGACGACCTTGGATGAATTGCTTAATCTGAGTATTTCTACCTCTTTCCGCAAGGAACATCGGGATGGCAGCTACCCTCTGAATTGCTGTAAAGGGTCTCCTTCCTTCCTTCCTTCCTTCCTTCCTTCCTTCCTTCCTTCCTTCCTTCCTTCCTTCCTTCCTTCCTTCCTCC